GGCCTCCATATACAAGCCAACCTGCCATCACCCTGAAGGACAATACCGAGAGTTCCTCGTTGTCTCTGAACATAGAAGGAGCTTGTAGAATATCTCTTGGCCCTGACATCGGGAACCCCGCGGATGATGAACACAGCAGCTCCAGACAAGTAAAGAATAAATTGTTTACGGCCCCCAGTCGGGAGGAATCCATTATACGAGGAGCCGGCCTTCTGATATGAAGGTTAATTACTATATGCAAATCCCTCACATCCAGTCACATCAGCAGTTGTCAGCTTACAAACTTCTTCTGAATGAATAATCCTTTTAGTTCTGCTGAGTGCGGAATGAAGGGAAGGACACGGAAACGTTGGCTGAGTGCGGAATGAAGGGAAGGACACGGGAAACGTTGGCTGAGTGCGGAATGAAGGGAAGGACACGGGAACGTTGGCTGAGTGCGGAATGAAGGGAAGGACACGGAAACGTTGGCTGAGTGCGGAATGAAGGGAAGGACACGGGAACGTTGGCTGAGTGCGGAATGAAGGGAAGGACACGGAAACGTTGGCTGAGTGCGGAATGAAGGGAAGGACACGGAAACGTTGGCTGAGTGCGGAATGAAGGGAAGGACACGGAAACGTTGGCTGAGTGCGGAATGAAGGGAAGGACACAGGAATGTTGGCTGAGTGCGGAATGAAGGGAAGGACACAGGAATGTTGGCTGAGTGCGGAATGAAGGGAAGGACACGGGAATGTTGGCTGAGTGCGGAATGAAGGGAAGGACACGGAAACGTTGGCTGAGTGCGGAATGAAGGGAAGGACACGGAAACGTTGGCTGAGTGCGGAATGAAGGGAAGGACACGGAAATGTTGGCTAAGTGCGGAATGAAGGGAAGGACACGGAAACGTTGGCTGAGTGCGGAATGAAGGGAAGGACACGGAAACGTTGGCTGAGTGCGGAATGAAGGGAAGGACACGGGAACGTTGGCTGAGTGCGGAATGAAGGGAAGGACACGGAAACGTTGGCTGAGTGCGGAATGAAGGGAAGGACACGGAAACGTTGGCTGAGTGCGGAATGAAGGGAAGGACACGGAAACGTTGGCTGAGTGCGGAATGAAGGGAAGGACACGGGAACGTTGGCTGAGTGCGGAATGAAGGGAAGGACACGGAAACGTTGGCTGAGTGCGGAATGAAGGGAAGGACACGGGAACGTTGGCTGAGTGCGGAATGAAGGGAAGGACACGGGAACGTTGGCTGAGTGCGGAATGAAGGGAAGGACACGGGAAATGTTGGCTGAGTGCGGAATGAAGGGAAGGACACGGGAACGTTGGCTGAGTGCGGAATGAAGGGAAGGACACTGGAATGTTGGCTGAGTGCGGAATGAAGGGAAGGACACGGGAACGTTGGCTGAGTGCGGAATGAAGGGAAGGACACGGGAATGTTGGCTGAGTGCGGAATGAAGGGAAGGACACGGGAACGTTGGCTGAGTGCGGAATGAAGGGAAGGACACGGGAAACGTTGGCTGAGTGCGGAATGAAGGGAAGGACACGGGAATGTTGGCTGAGTGCGGAATGAAGGGAAGGACACACGGAAACGTTGGCTGAGTGCGGAATGAAGGGAAGGACACGGAAACGTTGGCTGAGTGCGGAATGAAGGGAAGGACACGGGAATGTTGGCTGAGTGCGGAATGAAGGGAAGGACACGGAAACGTTGGCTGAGTGCGGAATGAAGGGAAGGACACGGAAACGTTGGCTGAGTGCGGAATGAAGGGAAGGACACGGGAATGTTGGCTGAGTGCGAAATGAAGGGAAGGACACGGGAACGTTGGCTGAGTGCGGAATGAAGGGAAGGACACGGAAACGTTGGCTGAGTGCGGAATGAAGGGAAGGACATGGGAATGTTGGCTGAGTGCGGAATGTTTGGGAAGGACACGGAAATGTTGGCTGAGTGCGGAATGAAGGGAAGGACACGGGAATGTTGGCTGAGTGCGGAATGAAGGGAAAGACACGGGAATGTTGGCTGAGTGCGGAATGAAGGGAAGGACACAGGAATGTTGGCTGAGTGCGGAATGAAGGGAAGGACGGAAACTTTGGCTGAGTGCGGAATGAAGGAAGGACACGGAAACGCAGCTGAGTGCGGAATGAACCGGACACGGAAACGTTGGCTGAGTGAAGCGCAGAGGAGACGGAAGGACACGGGAATACCTCTAGGAGGCTGTGTGATGTGCGGAATGAAGGGAGGGACATACCACCGCCGGAATGTTGGCTGAGGGTGTGCGGAATGAAGACGCAGCAAGGACACGGAAACGTTGGCTGAGTGCGGAATGAAGGGAAGGACACGGAAACGTCGGTTGGGTTTATTGGACGGGACCAGGTCTGGAGAACCCTCATTCCCATCCAATAGGTGGCAGCGCTTACCTGTGTAGAAGGGGGTTAATGCGGCGCTGTCAGGCGGGTCACATACCATGTCCCGGCTGTTACTTACTTCTCGCTGAGGGTGTGATAAGACCAGACAAGGAGACGGACATAAAACCGATGTTTACCTCTAGGAGCGTGTGATGAATAGACGCAGTTTGAGAGGACATACCACCGCTGTATTACCTCCAGGAGCGTGTGATGAAGACGCAGCAAGGAGACGGACATACCCCACCGCAACAATGTACTTACCTCTAGGAGCGTGTGATGAAGATGCAGCAAGGAGACGGACATACCACCGCCGCCATGTACTTACCTCTAGGAGGGTGATGAAGACGCAGCAAGGAGACGGACATACCACCGCCGCAATGTACTTACCTCTAGGAGCGTGTGATGATGAAGACGCAGCAAGGAGACGGACATACCACCACCGCCACAATGTACTTACCTCTAGGAGCGGGTGTGATGAAGACGCAGCAAGGAGACGGACATACACGCCGCAATGTACTTACCTCTAGGAGGGTGTGATGAAGACGCAGCAAGGAGACGGACATACCACCGCCCGCAATGTACTTACCTCTAGGAGGGTGTGATGAAGACGCAGCAAGGAGACGGACATACCACCGCCGCCATGTACTTACCTCCAGGAGCGTGTGATGAAGACGCAGCAAGGAGACGGACATACCACCGCCGCAATGTACTTACCTCTAGGAGGGTGTGATGAAGACGCAGCAAGGAGACGGACATACCACCGCCGCAATGTACTTACCTCTAGGAGGGTGTGATGAAGACGCAGCAAGGAGACGGACATACCACCGCAATGTACTTACCTCCAGGAGCGTGTGATGAAGACGCAGCAAGGAGACGGACATACCACCGCCGCAATGTACTTACCTCTAGGAGGGTGTGATGAAGACGCAGCAAGGAGACGGACATACCACCGCCGCAATGTACTTACCTCTAGGAGCGTGTGATGAAGACGCAGCAAGGAGACGGACATACCACCGCCGCCATGTACTTACCTCTAGGAGGGTGTGATGAAGACGCAGCAAGGAGACGGACATACCACCGCCGCAATGTACTTACCTCCAGGAGGGTGTGATGAAGACGCAGCAAGGAGACGGACATACCACCGCCCATGTACTTACCTCTAGGAGGGTGTGTGATGAAGACGCAGCAAGGAGACGGACATACCACCGCCGCAATGTACTTACCTCTAGGAGGGTGTGATGAAGACGCAGCAAGGAGACGGACATACCACCGCCGCAATGTACTTACCTCTAGGAGGGTGTGATGAAGACGCAGCAAGGAGACGGACATACCACCGCCGCCATGTACTTACCTCTAGGAGGGTGTGATGAAGACGCAGCAAGGAGACGGACATACCACCGCCGCATGTACTTACCTCCAGGAGGGTGTGTGATGAAGACGCAGCAAGGAGACGGACATACCACCGCCGCCATGTACTTACCTCCAGGAGGGTATGATGAAGATGCAGCAAGGAGACGGACATACCACCGCAATGTACTTACCTCCAGGAGCGTGTGATGAAGACGCAGCAAGGAGACGGACATACCACTGCCGCAATGTACTTACCTCTAGGAGGTGTGATGAAGACGCAGCAAGGAGACGGACATACCACCGCCATGTACTTACCTCTAGGAGCGTGAGAGTGTGATGAAGACGCAGCAAGGAGACGGACATACCACCGCTGCAATGTACTCACCTCTAGGAGCGTGTGATGAAGACGCAGCAAGGAGACGGACATACCACCGCCGCAATGTACTTACCTCTAGGAGCGTATGATGAAGATGCAGCAAGGAGACGGACATACCACCGCCGCAATGTACTTACCTCTCCAGGAGCGTGTGATGAAGATGCAGCAAGGAGACGGACATACCACCGCCGCAATGTACTTACCTCTAGGAGGGTGCGTTGGATTCTGCAGAGGTTTGTGGGGGGGGGGCGGAGGTGGGTCGTTATCACCTTACAGACACATTTACTAACCTGTCTGCAGATCATTCCTCTACATTTCCCCAGCTATGAACTCCCAGGAGACGTCTATGTACACAGTCTATGTACACAGGAGCCACGCCGACAGGAGACGTCTATGTACACAGGAGCCACGCCGACAGGAGACGTCTATGTACACAGGACAGGAGAGCTTCGCCGACAGGAGACGTACACAGGAGCCACGCCGACAGGAGACGTCTATGTACACAGGAGCCACGCCGACAGGAGACGTCTATGTACACGCCGACAGGAGCTATGTACACAGGAGCCGCGCCGACAGGAGACATCTATATACACGGGAGCCGCGCCGACAGGAGACATCTATGTACACAGGAGCCGCGCCGTCAAAAAAACGTCTATGTACATAGGAGCCGCGCCGACAGGAGACATCTATGTACATAGGAGCCGCGCCGACAGGAGACATCTATGTACATAGGAGCCGCGCCGACAGGAGACGTCTATGTACACGGGGAGCCGCGCCGACAGGAGACGTCTATGTACACAGGAGCCGCGCCGACAGGAGACGTCTATGTACACGGGAGCCACGCTGTCAGGAGTCGGCTGATTTTTACTTTTTTATGAACCGATTGGATTAGTAACACTCCATTATGTTGGGGGCTCAGAGTGAAGGTTCAAAAAACGTTAGCAAAAAACGAATTCTGGGTTTGCATATTGCAGTATATACTATATTGTCCCAAGTATTGCCCCCCCCCCACCCTCTCCAAATCATGTGATTCAGGTGCTCCAATCCCCTCTCCAAATCATGTGATTCAGGTGTTCCAATCCCCTCCATATCATGTGAGTCAGGTGTTCCAATCCCCTCCCAATCATGTGATTGAGGTGTTCCAATCCCCTCCCAATCATGTGATTCAGTGTCCAATTCCATGTGAGTCAGGTGTTCCAATCCCCTCCCAATCATGTGAGTCAGGTGTTCCAATCCCCTCCCAATCATGTGATTCAGGTGTTCCAATCCCCTCCCAATCATGTGAGTCAGGTGTTCCAATCCCCTCCATATCATGTGATTCAGGTGTTCCAATCCCCTCCATATCATGTGATTCAGGTGTTCCAATCCCCTCCATATCATGTGATTCAGGTGTTCCAATCCCCTCCATATCATGTGATTCAGGTGTTCCAATCCCCTCCATGGACACATGTATACAATCAAGCCCCTAGGCATGCAGACGGCTTCTACAAACATTGGAGAAAGAATGGGTCGCTCTCAGGAGCTCAGTGACTCCAAGCGTGGTCCCGTGATAGGTGGCCACCTGGGCAATAAGTCCATCCGTGACATTTCCTGGCTACTAAATATTCCACGCTCAACTGTTAGTGGGATTATAACAAAGTGGAAGCCACTGGGAACAACAGCCACTCAGCCACCAAGTGGTAGGCCACGTCACATGACAGGGCGGGGTCAGCGCATGCTGAAGCGCACAGTGCGCAGAAGTCACCAACTGTCTGCAGAGTCAATAGCTAAAGACCTCCAAACTTGGTGTGGCCTTAGTCATCGTCACGACCATCGGATCCTCTGGTCTCACCTTGACTTTGGTAGGTACCTCAGCACCCCGGACACCTCGGGTAGGTTAGTCATCGTCACGCCCATGGAAATCCTAACGGCATGCGCAATACACAGAGGGTTGCTTTATATAGGGTACTGGAGGAAACCCGAGCAACATACTCTGCAGCTCAGCTCACTAAATGGGCAGCAAAAAGGCCACCAAGTTGGGTATCGGCACAGCTAGGGGCCAAGTTGCCATGAGGGAGCTAAGCCTAGACCTTCCTGAGAAGAAAAACACCAAAATAAAGGAACTGCCCTCAGCAGCAGGTGGCAGCAACAGTCCTCAAAGGTAATCTTCTGCCGGCTGCGTCGGGCCCCTGAAGACGTCGGTGCGCTCAGCGGCATTGGATAGTCCTGCATTCAGTGAGTCTTGAGAAACAAGGAGCTCCTCAGAACATTGAAGTGAGAGGGGACCGGTGGGAGGGCTCTGTGGTACAGACGTTGGCCACATAGGACTGGCGGTCCTCAGTACTCTGACCTTCTCGTTTTATCGATGGATTTGGCAACAACCATTTCCTTTCGTTCCTCGTTAGGATTGCCGGCATTTTTCAGGCGGTCAGTTCAATCGTATTTATTTCACGAAGAATCTGGAGTTCTACTTTAACGTAGACCCTCGCTGAAAAACGAGAGTAGCGCTCATCCTCCTCCCCACCCCCGCCCCAACACATTCCCAGGGGCTGAAGGACCAGTCTGAAAGTGACCTCACACACGTGCAGTGGAGAACCAGCTGTGATTGGTCAGGAAGTCACATCCAGCTCCTAAATCCAAGATGGCGGCACAAAGGAGCAGAAGCAGCGAGAAGATTCTACTGCTGGAGGACAGCGTTGGTCTCCAAGGACTGGAAGGTTCTGGACAGTATTTGTAGCGGCTGCCTGTAAATATGTTTGGTATTGGGTGAGAGTTCCGCTTTAAGTCGTTGGAAGAGAAGAGCGCCGAGTAGAAGGATCCGGAATTGTGCAGCAAATTATTACCTTCAATCGGTTCAACAAAAACGAGGGACAATCGGTACGGTAATGGCGTCCTGTCCTGGGGGGGGGGGGAGAAGAATGGGCGGCGGTGGTGGAGAATCTCCGGTAATCTCTTGGCGGGATTGTCTCCATTTACGGTACAAAACAGTACAACCTCCCGGCCCTCCCAACGACAGGAACTTCCACCGCCCGGCCCTCCAACAACGATGGGAACTTCCACCCCCCGGCCCTCCCAACGATGGGAACTTCCACCGCCCGGCCCTTCCAACGACGGGAACTTCCACCTCCCGGCCCTCCCAACGATGGGAACTTCCACCGCCCGGCCCTCCCAACGACGGGAACTTCCACCACCGCCCGGCCCTTCCCAACGACGGCCCTCCCAACGATGGGAACTTCCACCGCCCGGCCCTTCCAACGACGGGAACTTCCACCTCCCGGCCCTTCCAATGACGGGAACTTCCACCGCCCGGCCCTTCCACGACGGGAACTTCCACGCCCGGCCCTTCCAACGACGGGAACTTCCACCTCCGGCCCTTCCACCGCCCGGCCCTCCAACGACGGGAACTTCCACCGCCC